CTTCGTCCCTTCCGGATCGTCAAAGACAGAGCATACCGCTTCCTGATGAAGTCGGGTCGCCCAGGCATTCATATTCCTTCCGCCGAAACTGTTGCTCGCGACGTTAAGAAGGTTTTCAAGAAGACGCGGGAACGTGTTAAACAGCGACTTTCGGTCAGCTTTGCCTTCTACTTTATATGATTGTCTGAGATCAACGTAGAATGTGTCGGGAGTCACCCTCATCACCGACGCCTGGACTGCGCCTAATCATCGCGCCTTTGTGGCCGTCGCAGGTGCATGGGAGGAAGATGGAAAGAAGGTCGAGTGTTTGATGGATTTTGTCGAAGTTCCCAAGGTGTGTTTTTGCATTTCCTTTGCTTTTTCGGCGTCTGAAAGCTTTGTAGTCTCACGACGGAAAGAATCTTGCTGCTGTCCTCGAAAAGGTGGCAAAAGATTTCGAGGTCAGCGACCGGATTATCAGCGTCACTTGCGACAACGCTACCAACAATGACACCATGATTGACGAGCTTCATCGCACCCTTCCCAACTTTCAAGGCGCGAAAGACCGCACTCGCTGCATGGCCCACGTTATCAATCTCGTCGCCAAAAGTCTGCTCAAGCTCTTTGAATCGCGCAAGACCAATGGGTCGACGGACAACGAGGACGAATTTGGCTCCCCGGGTGAAGATCTCGCCGATGCCATGCTTGATATCGACAACTTGCTGGCCGAGCTCAACGATCTCGAACACACTGAAGTGGAGCGTGACGCACCAGAGGACGAGTTCGACGAGGTGGCGCAGATGCTTGTTGAGGATAGAGAAGAGTTCCTAAGGCAGACGGCAGTCATTCGGTCTGCGCTGAAGAAGGTGTGTGTTCTTTGACTTTTCCTTTCATTTTCTAACGTTCCTTAGACGCGAGCTCTTGCCAACAAAATAATCCACTCGACTACGGGCAGATATATTTCGCCGCCCTCCGCCGCCCACCAGCCGCCCACCGCCGCGTCACCTAGCCCCATCGCCGCCCACCTCTGTCACGCTGCCGCGGCAGTCACACCAGTGGGTGGGCGGCGGGGTGGGCGGCGAAGTGCATGATTACGTCAGATCATGCACTTTCGCCGCTCGTCGACGTCGATCATGATCAATGCCACTAGGACTTGGCGCCAACGCCATCCCTTGCGGTCTTGCAGCACTAGATGGTGGATCTGCGTGGCAGACACTCACGCTGACAGCGAGTGTCGTCTCCGTTGGCTTTAGGGCCGCGGCCGCGGCCTGTCCGCGCGCCGCCCAGGGGTGGGCGGCGAAGTGCTCAATTTTAGCGTTTTGGGATTTTCATTGTATTGCATACTATTGGGTGTTCTGTACATGGTATTGAAGACCCCAATGCATAATTTGTAGTCATTGTGCTGCTATTTACATTCTAAGTAACTATAAATTTTTAGGGATTGTTGAATTAACATGTTACATCATATGTATAGCCCATATCTTGTATGCCTGGAGTATTTGGCAGCTAGCTATGCCTTCTGAGGGCATGGGATGCCCAGTCAGGGGCAGATCTAGTGGTTCACAACAAACCTGCAGGATGACAGCATTCATGAGGCACTCTTAACGCCAACAAATCTTCATTAATTAACTTACTACAGTGATTGACTACTTTTGAAAGATTGAGGACATGCACTCAGCCGCGCGTAACAGGGCCGCGCACAGCAGCGGTTCGGAGCGCGAATTAGAGCGCTTTGTTGGATACAAGCAACAAGTACTTACAAGTACTTAGCAATATTGATGGCAGCAGAACTGCGTCCCGCAAGCAACCGCGCAGCTCCTCGCAGCTCGGTCGCCAGCTGCGCGACAACGGCCGGGGTGAGCGCGCTTGATGGCGCGATCACGAAGACGATAGCAATGGCATGTTGTCGAAGTGCCAGTGCTCATCGCGATGCCCCGCAAGGTGCAACGAGTACCAGTAACCAGATAGCTCGGAACTAGCCAACTTGGAAGCAAGTTCTAAGAGCCGCCCACCACACAGGTGGTTCCGAGACCAAGGACATAATCGCGGAGCTGCTGTCGTTGCGCGCAGCACCGTCGGAAGAACGTCAGCACACCAGCGAGCAGTGGACCGGGACAAGCCGGAGGGCGATGTTGCTGGCATTGAAGTAGCGGTGCGCTCGGTCGGCGCGGCGCACCGCCGCTCACCTAAAAAGTATGCTCGCCGAGCCGCTCACTGGGCCGCGCACCATCCGCCGACGCCGATCACGGCGGGAGCCACTCGTATGCTGAGCATAGTGCAGAGAGAACCGTGACGCAGGCGTAGGGGCGGGAGAAGCAGAGCAGGGCTGTATTGGCGGTACACGCAACGGCAGCCATGTAGCCAGCATGTCCATCACCGCTCACCGCCGCTCACCCTCAGAAGACGATGGGCTTTCCATGGCCGGGCGGGTCGTGCGCACGATGCACGGGGCGCGGCTACAGAGACGGTGGCACGGTGCGTGAGCGCGACGTGGATGTTCGCAGCCCGGGATGCCTCCCAGGAGAAGGTCGAGCTCTCAACAAGATCCGGGGCCGCTGATCAAGCCGCGTACCAAGCTGCGGCGACAGGCGGCCAAGGCAACGTCGGCAAAAGCGGCATTCTCCAAGTCAGGGCGGGCGACGACTGAGGATGGTAGTGGAGCGTGGAGCGCTGGACACCACGTTGCGCGATGACTAGGGCGCAGCAGAAGAAGCCCAAGCAAGAGAGGATGCATTTGAGGACGGCACCAGCGACAGTCCATGGCCGGTGCCGGGCTGTGCAGCTTGAGGGCACAAGTACTGCCAGTACTGCCACTGGCAGTGGGGTCGTCGTTGAAGATGTTGGTGGAGTCTTGCAACGCGCATGCAAGCCCAGGTGGCGGCGGGGCACTTGACCGTGGTCGTGGAGCAGAGACAAGATGTAGAGATTCTAATCACTGATCATCTGTCAGCGTCGACGCCGCCGGCGAACGTTGATGGCGACGACGACGACGGCGAGGGCAACGCAACATGCGTTCAAGACCCGGAGAGGTGGCCAGCGAGGAAGGCAAGGGCCTTGTGATGACGAGGAGTTAGTCGCTGGAAGAGACCGGCGCCGCAGCGGCCGCTTACTGGGGTGGCGGCAGTGCTCCATCGCCGCCCTCCAGGTTTGGCTGGGAGCCGCCCTCTGTCACACCAGAGCCGCGCTCACTTGTGCGAGAGCCGCCCACCGCCGCGGCAACACTGCCACCAGCCGCCCACCGCGAAAAGAGGGCGGCGAAAATGAGGCAAAAAGCCGCCCACCGCCGGTCCGAGCCGCCCACCCAAAAAGTCCAAGGGCGATGCTCGACGACAAAGCCACCGTTCGAGCCGCTCAGTGGCGCGTTCGAAAGGGCTCGTCGGGGGCTATCGAACGCCCCAAGAATGTCGCTATTATGTTAAGGACTTACAAAGATATTGTCTACAGAATTTTCGTGGAGCCGCCCACCAGCCGCTTCCGAGCCGCCCACCCCAGAAGCGGCGAAATATTTTTGCCCCTCGACTACGATTCTCTTACCTGAGTGGAAGCGACTCCTCGAGGAGCTCAGCATGTCTGTTCGCATCCTGCCTCGCGACGTCAAGACCCGCTGGAACTCGACCTTCGACATGATCAACACGCTCCTCCAGTACAAGACACCCGTCCAGCGCTTCACTGCTAGTGCCGACAATGGCTTACGCGACTACGAGCTCAACTCGAACGAATGGGATGCGCTCAGAGATTTACGCGACGTTCTACAGGTACCTTTCTTATTCTTCATGTGTTGGAACTTATGCCCGCACAGTCCCTCAAACATGCTACGCTCTACTTCTCCCGCACATCAGCAACGCTCGCCAGTGTCGTTCCAACGATGGACAAGATCGACTCTCTGCTCGCGACCGCGGTACTCAAGACGACCGTTCAAGCCCCAACAGGCGGCGAGGAGAAGGTCGAACGCAAGCTCTGCACTCCAATCAAGATTGCACTGCTTCAGGCCAAGGCGACGCTGAATCGGTACTACTCACGTACCTTTGAGTCTCGGGTATACGGCGTTGCGATGAGTATGTGATCCTGAAGTGATTCTGTGTGCCTGTGCTCATCATAAACCACCAGTCCTTCACCCTCGCTACAAACTCGGCTACTTTGCGGACAACGATTGGGAATCTGTCGACGTCAAGCGTGCAAAGAAGCATCTCGCTGATTTGTATGAAGTCTACCGTCAGATTTACGCCCTCAAGTATCTCGAGGACTCGGACTCCAGTAACTCTGACGTTGAAATGGCCAAGTCGTCGGTACGTGAAATTCATTGCACCCTTATTTTTGCTCATATTTATGGCCAGAAGAAGTCGAAATCGGGATACCTCAACATGTTTGACGAGATGGACCTCGAAGAAGACAGGAACCTCAATCGCGCCGCCGCCGCCGCCGCCCTCGCAAAGGACGAACTCACCGTCTATCTGGCTCAGGCCCGTGTCTCCGGCATCACCGATGTTTTGCATTGGTGGCTCGACCACTCTGCCGAGTTCCCCATCCTCTCACGTCTTGCTCGCGACTACCTGTCCATCTCTCGTGTGTCTCAATATACTCTCTCACCACAATTATAAACTTATTCTTTCTAGCAACATCGGTTTATGTCGAACGCCAATTCAGCCGTGGCCGCCTGCTCATTTCCACCATCCGCAACCGATTGTCGGGGGAGACTGCGCGGCAGTTGATGTGCTTGGGATGCTGGAGCCTCCTTGGCTATGTTGATAGCGATGATATGACGGAGGTAACTCGGCTGCCTGACATCGAGGAGTAGAAGACATTGGTTTTTTTTGTACTATGCAACAAATACATGGCCTACTATGTGACGTTTTTATTACTTGGCCCGTGAGTTTCGGTGAGCGGGCCGCGCGGGCTACGGGCCACCCGCCACCCGCAGTCCAAGCGGCGGGTTCCCGTGGCCCGCGTAGCCGGGTGCGGGCCTCAGGCGGGTAAGGGTGCGGGCCACCTCCGGTTTACCCGCGGGTGGCCCGTGACAATCACTACCCCGGACGCTGTCGTATCAGGCGCCCGTTGGATCCTTCCCCCGATACTTCAGGCCGCGACAGCATACTGGCGCTCTTCCGCTATTGGCCACCGCCAGTCAGTAACGGCATTCAAGTCCTCTGTATCTACACACCTCTGTGTAGGAAGTTTTGTCATCGGCGCCTCTCGGTTCACCCACGCCAGGTAGAAATACCTTCTTAAGCTTGCCGTCAACCCATTGATACAGCTGCCCCTCCTCCCAACGGGCATTTGGTTTTGGATTCAAGTTGACTGCGGCAGAATTCGGAGTCCCGGATTCAGCAGTGGCGGGACCGATTCTGCGAACTTGGAGGTTGTGCAAGGCCGATACTAGGACCGCCGGGGCTGGGTTTGAATTGGACGACACGGGTTTGGCAGTCACAGGAAGGATTTTCTGGCCCAAAGGTGATATTGAGGCCACCCGGGCCTCCGCGGTTTGTATTGTCCGAACTTTTGCACTCGGATTTGCATTTGCATCGACGCCGAGTTGCCGCCGGAGCTCCCACGGGCGACGGGCCGGCGCCGACACGGGGACGCTCAGACCGAGATTGGCATCACCATATGGATGATGCTTGGGGTCCTCGTAGCTGACGTACGGTTGGTAAGTCGTCTGACGGGGACGCATAGAGCGCGGCCGCGGCGGCGAGCTCTCCTGCTATTGCCAGTGGGCGCCGCCGATCAGCGATCCCATCCAAATCGGGGATGTACACGCACCCCGGGATAGTATATCTTTTCGTTCTTGAACCAGAAGTATGGCTGCGATGGACGCCATGACCAATATGGCCCCCTCGACGCGCACGGCGCCCATATGTCACGCAGAAACACTTTCTTGCCGTCAACCCATTTGTATGGCAGCCGCTCTTCCGAAGGGGTCTTTGCATCGGTTGGGGCCAGGTTGAGCGCTGCGGATTCGCCAGTGCCAGGAAAGATTTTCCGAAACCGGAGGTTGCGCAGGGGCGATACGAGGGCCCCTGGGGGCTCCATGGGTGTTGTCGGAGCTAGTACCGCACTGGCATTCACAGATGGAGTCTGGGGAGGCACGTCGCTGGGTCGGGGAGTAGTCTGGAAGATTCAGCCAGAGACTCGGATATCGACGAGTCAGTAGGACTAACCTTCATTTTGATGCTTGCTGGTGGCGCATCACGCATTTCAAGCGTCGCCTGCTCCGTGTCCTCGCAGGGTTCATCCAGCATAGCAAAATGCTCTGCGGGGATGACCACCTCGATATGCGGAGGCGCTTCAGCGGGGGCAATATGCTCCGGCGCCGGCGCAATATTCCGACTCAAAGGAGAGCAGTGGAGCAACTACAGAAATGAGAAAGTGATGAATTTCAAGAGCCCCGACGTACCTCAGGGAACTCCATGCTCTGAGTCGGCGGGGTCATCTTCCTTGCCTTCTGCGGTGTTTGAGGACTTCGCGGACGCTCAGTCAATGCGCTGGCGGCAGGTGTTTCCTCAGCTGCAGACTCCGAGGGCGGATCGTGGTGGCGAGAGGAGTTTGGTCGTCGAGCCTGGAAACGTTAATATGCGAGTTGATTCGACGAGATTGAAGACACACTGGAGAATCACGTCTTGTCGGAGTCCGTAGAGAGGAAGCGCCAGCCTTTCCTCTCGTCGGCGTCCCTTTCGCCTTCGTGGCTTTTGTTGTCCGGCTTGGTGCGGCCTCCCGCGAGGCCACGACAAGCTGTGAGCGATGAGCATACGGAGCGAGCGAACGATAGGATTAGTACACACCGGCAGCACCTCGTTCCAAACCTCCTGCTCAATTGCCAGCCGCTTCTCCCACTCCCTCAGCTCCTCCAGACGCGCATCCACGTCGCCAGCAGAGCACGGCTGCTCCAAGCGACGCTGCAGCTCATAGTGCTCCTAGTCCAAAAGCGTTAGACGGCTTTACTGTCGGAGGAGCGCCACAACGCACGGTCTGCAGCTTAGCCTGCTCCTCCACCTGGGCCTGTATTCCCTCGATTGCCTTCAGTGGGTGCGGGCTGAACGAGTCCAGCGTCTTCAAGTTGAAGTATCATAAGCACACTGCCAGAGCTAGATGAAAGACGTACATATCCAATGGCGCGCGCATCCGCCTTTGCCGCGTCAATCTCGATATGCAGTCGCTCCAGCTCAGCAATAACCTTGCCGTCCGCCCTCAGCCTTCCTCGCTGGAGGAATCCGCTTAGAACTCACCTCCGCATCGCCCATCGTCGTTGGTGATTGATTCCCCCGTCTGTGGACCCCGTTGCCGGACGTACGAAGAGGGACCAGAGAAGGAGGGACTGTCACGCTAGCCCTGACATCCGTCACGCTAGCCCTGAAAGTGTTCAAGCACGTGTGCTGCGGGCCGTGGTCCGTGCGCCGTTGCCTAGGCGGGTTCCCCTTCGGCTTTGCGTCACAGAAGTCGCCGCGTCATTGAACCAGCCTCTGCAGTAAGTAGAGCAGGTGGACGCTGTACCAGAGCATGAGCAGTGCTGACAACGCACTCGAGCAAGGGCGCACTACTGCCTATGCTTGTCGTGGTCGGAAGGGAAAAGGAAAGTCACCCGGGCCCGGTGCCCATGGTAGTGACACGGATCGCCGCTCGGCGCACGGACCACCTTCAACGGCACGTGCTTGAAGACTGAGCCCGCTGAGCTTGGTATGTTTTTCTTTCTTCTTTTCCCCCATCATCACCCACCGCAAGGTCTACTCCCCCTGTTCTCCAGCCCAAGCTCATGCTCGGACAGATCCCATTTTGTGATGCCCCCTAGCACTGGCACGCCGTAAGCAATAATCAATATCCACCAAGTCCTCCCGAGTCCCGACGCCATGTGTTCAACAGACGACACACCCGTGCGGAGCGGGCAAGCATCCGTGTACTCTATGCTGCCGGCATCACCCAGAGAGCACTCGCACAGGCCTTTGGCGGCTCGGTCTCAACGGTCGGCCGCGTAATCTACAACGAACAGTCCAGTGTCGTGGACGACACTTCTGAGGACCGCTCCATCGCTCGCAAGGCAAAACTGCTCAAGTTCAGAGAGCTGGAGACAGTTGCTGCGAAGATTCATCCCAAGCAGCTGGCAGCACGCCGACCTACGCGTGCCGCGAGCTCCGGCCCAGCATCAGCCCGTGCACCACGGGCCCAAGCAGCCAGGGTAACGAAGACTGAGACAGACGACGAATACAAATATGCACCCAGCTCCACTGGCAGTGAATGTGAATCCGAGTCTGCTGTGTTCACCGATGACACTGGGGATTCGTCCTCCGAATCAAATTCAGAGACCTCTGACTCCGAGTCCACCAAGTCCATCGCTAGCGAGGTCGTCCCTGCGGACGCCAACCCCGATTTCCTCCTCAGCTTTCTCACCCGCATCTCCCTTCCCGGGCTATACGCACCACTCACAGCCGCAAACGTAGGGCGTGCGGACCTTCTCCGCCTTGCGAGCCCGGACATCACGGATGCGATGCGCTATGCGTATGTCGGGCAGCTGACGGCCCAGGCCAACATCGCTGAATTCGGCATCTCGCAGCGGGTGTGGTTTGTCGAGCACGCCAAGCAGCTGTCGCAATCAGAGGAAAACTTGTGAAATGAGCCGCTCCAAGCAAAACTGTGTGTTGTGTCCTGCAGGCGTGGTCTGAATCCGTTGAGATGTTGTATTGAAATGTAATTACTTGGTTGACAATATGAACCTTTGCGTGTCCTTTGTGTAATCCCTGCAAGCGCAAGACAGCCCTTCGAGGACTGGGTATCGGGGCCGCCAGGGGGTGAGACAAGGAGAGGATCATCCCGGCCAGTCGTCGCTGTGGTTTGGCGTTTTCGTCATCAACGGCGCGACTTGCTACAGCCTGACAACGCCACAGTCGTCTTCCGTGTCGCTGAATCAACGGGTAAATGCGTAGAAAGAGGTAAGGAAAGTGACCACGCACCTGAGCTCACGTATCGGCTTGTCTCCGTGGGCACCGCGACCAGCTCTTGTGTTCCGTCGTTAACAGCTGGCCCCAGCCAAGGCACAATTCGCAATCTTCCAGCCAATCAGCCTGGCTTCTGGATTAAAACAAGGCCATGAGCTTACCAAAGACCCATGAGAACGCGCTTGAGGGTCCTTCCAGTATCGCGCTGGATGCGCGCGCTGCATTGGGCGTCGTCGTGGAGGCGCGGAGAGAGCGTGTGAGCGCTGATCGGCTCTCGGCTCGGCGTAACGCCGTGACGGATGCATATCACTCCTTCTTCCGCTCCATGATGACTGAGGGCGCTGGGTATGCGCGCCGTTGGGCGCCGAGCGCCAGTGTTGCAACTGCAGCGCCTTTGACTTGGAGGAGTGTGTTCCTGGGGATAGAAGAGTAAGTACTCCGAGTCGGTGGGTGGGGTAACAGTGGTGTAGCGGAGAAAGGTGCGTGCTCGGCCCCTCTTCCTGTTCCAGGAATTAACGGTGGCCACACCAGCCTGTAGACCACGACCTTGTGCGCACGTGCACCGACTTCCAGCCTGCTCTCCTTCAGCATTGATATGGCGCTCCATGTTCTCCAACTCCGGAGAGAAAGGGCCAGCGGCTAGTCCTGCGCTCGTCGACCTCTGTTACGCGGAACTCAAGGCCGGCAGGCCGATAATCGATTGTGCTGCCTCGATGGGGGGTCAGGCTTTCTTCCGCGTCTGGTGCGCTGTCCAAGTCCCCGCTCGTGTCGTTGCCCTGACCGGGGTGCCAGACTGCACAACGCCAGCTTCGGAGCTTCCCCTCGCTAGCCCACCAAGAGCCAGTGCTCCAACCGCAGGGCCTGGAGTATTGACGCGTTGGCGCCGTGGACGGAAGCACCGTACGATCCGGGCTGCCAAAGAGCTCCGTAGGGTGGTGTCGCGAAAAAAGGTACGTGCTCGGTGCCTGTTTCTGCTTGCATTCTGAACACCAACCTGTAGACCATTGCGGGCTGCACTACGGGTAGCTAGACCAACTTGAAGTGTGGGCTGCATGGAAACGGGCGCTCTTTTCCCCATCATCATCCCGCCACCGTATCTACGCAATCTCCAGTGCTTTACCGTTGCACGTGGTTGCACGTGTTGTTGTTGACTGATTGATCGCGATAACGATCGATCGCACCTTGTCTCGCGCCACCATGCATGACTCGCTCCGGCTCTCAAAGATGCACAGGTTGCCCGTGCGGCTGAAGGTTCGCATTTCCTAAAGTCTTGACTCCACTGACTGTTACCTCTGGCCCTAGATTGCGGCGGAAAAAGTCCTCAGTCGCGGGGCGGGCATGAAGGAGGCGGTGGAAGTACTTGCTGTGGCAGGCAGGACCACGGAGCACAGCGCACTACTCCTCCCGGTGTTCTACGCCATGCTCGATACCGCTGTCATCCCCGAGCTTCGCGCGCCGGGCTTTGTCGACGAGAACATCGACACCGCCCGGAGGCATGCGACGTGTGCGGTTTGGGGCATTGACGGCGTACAGCGCGTGACGCACGTGATTACCGTCGCTGCGTTCTCTGACATATGGCGCCGCTGCTGGCCGTGGGTTGAATTCCTAACCGAATATTCAATGGTGCTTGCGCTTCCGTCGTCATCCTTGCGCACCGACACTGCGACCCCGCCGGGGGAGCTGCCAGCGCTGTGGCTGCGACTTTTGACGCGCCTCCTGGCCCTCTGTGTCACGCTGGATAGTGCTGTCATCGGGCAGACACGGGGATTCCGCGTCCTGCTTGGGGAGGCATGGGCACATGTGGTGCACGTGGAACCCGAAGATGCGGCATGCTTGCAGGATGTTGCTGTGTCGCTGACGCTCATCATGCGCTCTGCAGACACAGACATCATCGGGGACATCGCAGAGGGCGCCGGAGGGAAGCAGGCGCTGGCTACGGTCATTGTGGGTGACCTGTGGAATTCATGGCCAGATGGCACAGAGCCTGCCTCCTCTGCAAGTCTCCGCCGTGCCACCAGCCTCTTTGCCTTCCTGCGACTCGCACTCGACAACGGCTTGACGGAGGAACTCCAGGGAGAGGAGATCGTCGCTGGGCTGACCATTGCATGCGCCTCTTTGAGTGTAGCGACACGTGCGGATGGCATGCGGACCGAGCTCATGAACGATGCGCTGTCACTTCTTGTCCAGGTGCTCGATGGGCCGTGGCCGCAGGTGCGCGTTGCGGAAGCCATCGAGACAGGGCTCTTTGCTGTCCTCCATACAATGACCCGCTGGTCATCGCCCGCCAACACAACCTTGCTCATCAAACTTTTCCGCGATACACTACCTCCATTGCTGCCACTCCGCCCCGTCGCAGCAGTACTCCAGGAAGCACTCCTAGAGGTGCGCGACATGGACTCTGCCATGTGCATCCAGTCACCTGAACGCTCTTCGTCCCCTAACCTCCGCTATTCGCCATCCGAGTCCGGGCCCAACCCGAGACCTAGCATGTCCTGTACCGCAGACTCGGAGCATGTTTGTATCCCTCGCCTTGATGACTCAACACTGGCACCCGTTGACATGTCACACAGCCCGACGCCAACCACGTCGACGCGCACTTTGCGCTGCTCCCGGAGCAACACTCACCACAAAGCATCTCCACCGGCGCCGGCCCAGGTCCGCTCGGCGCCGAACCGACAATGACCGACGACCCGCCGCCGCTGCCCTCCGTCCGGGTCACGCTCCGCCCGTGCTGCTTCAACTGCTGGACGACGGAAAGCAACACGTGGCGCCGCAGTAGACTCTCCGTCGGCAAGATCGTCTGCATCGAGTGCGGTGTTTTCGAGCGTAAGCACTCCCGCCCCCGGCCCGTGCAGTTTCCCTGTGTGCCGCCCATTGGCTTGGTGGCGACCAAGACGTAGTTTTGGTGAGGGCGCGAGGCAGAGGAGGAGGGGTTGCTGAGGGCGAGCACTTCGTTCAGGACCGTCCTATGTAGACTCTAGAGTTGCAAGGTAACATTTTAGCCGCTTGGTTTGCATTTGCGTGTGCGGATGGCGGATGTCGTGGGCAAGCCTGCAACAGAGTCTTTCAGCTAAGTCAAGCTGGCGGTGAGCGATAAGCTTTCTCGCACCTGCTCGTCGATACTCTGCACGCACAACGATCGCGCGACCCGATTGACTTCTCCAAAAGAAGTATGCTGCTGGCTCGCGCAATCGGTGCGGGGTGCCAGGCAATAGAAGTGGAGGCCACCGTTGGCCACGCGTCTTATAACATACCCCCCCGCATTGTAAGACGCGGGCAGCAGTTTCGCCACAGATTTTAGACTCTCCATAAAGTTGGCGACTGGAGAAGGAGTGGTTAGGCGTATCGGTCAGTGTCGCCATGGCACTGCGCCAGCTGGCGCCGCAGGTGTGCTGCAAAGGCTGGCATTGTGCGTCGAGTCGGTCGAGATGGGCGTCAGGAACAAGAAGGGAGGCGATTGCGTAAGATGTGACTGGGCGATCACATCATGATTAGCTCCGCGCCGGGCACGCCCATTGGCTGGGCACACGTGTGCGCTGTCAATACGTGGCAGCGCTTTTCTCTCTTCACTTCCAGCTTCGCTGCAACTGGCTCTCCGTCTTCGCTCCATGTTTCCGAATGAACTCTTTCACAAGGTGCTCAAAGATGTATCGCCCGCCCAGCTCAAGCTCGTCGCTCTTGTCTCCCGTCGCCTGCGCCTCCTTGCTTGCCCATTCCTCTACAGCAAGCTTTCATTGACGCCATATGTGCCCACGGAGTATCGCACTGCCTCGTCAGACAGCCCTGTCCTTGAGCTCCCACCTGCTCACAAGGTGGCGGACGCCATCGCAAAACTGGCCTTCTTCATGTCCCCCGCCATTGCGCCGTATGTGCAACGCATCGATGTCGACTGGGAGGAGGTGAACGGCTTCGTTGAAAGAAGCAGAGACGCAGTATTTCATGACGTAGCCGGGACGCACACCATCTGCGATGTACTATTCGCTGGCATCTCCAAGTTCATCAACCTGCGCAAATTCTATGGCCACAGTCTCATATTCACTCTCTCTGCGCTCGCCAACCTTGCGCAGGTCCGCGGCCCTATTGAGTTGGATCTCTTTGCCTGTTCTGTGGACTCCGAGATCCAGGCCTTCCTTCGTGCCGCTATTAACGCACTCGACATCCATATCCGGGTCTCAAGCTTCAAAGTCGCCACTTCGGCACCATACCATGGCACGTGCATGCTCTCAGAATGGTTTGCGCTCTTGGAGCCCACTACACTCTCCGCGGTCAGCTTGGACATGGATCAGCCAGTGGAAGGGCTTACGAGTGTACTACCTCTTGTGAAACACCTGGCGCTTAGACTGACTGAGGGCTTCGCGTTCACATCCTCTGGCTGTGCGCAGCTTCATGCTGCCTTTCCTGCAGTTGAGGAACTTAGCATCGAGGCTTTGTGTGAAGCTACTATCATACCCCTCCTCTTACCGATCGCACCGTCTATCCACACATTGCATGTGGGAAACTTCGATGCTGCCAGCTTAGCGTTTGTACTACAGCGTAATATGCACTGTATCCCCGCGACAATCACGACAGTCACCCTCGAATGCCATGAGGGCGATCCCGCCGTGTGGGGCGCGGTCTTCGCTCACTTTCCGCACCTACACACCCTCAACTTCACTGTGACGATGCTGTCCGGACGATCGCTTACTGTAAGTGAATGTGCTCCTGACTCCCCGATGAACTGTAGCCATACCTTACTCAATACTATCACAGCCTGCCGCCTTCCTCACGGGCTTCCCGGCTAGTCTCCCCTTGGGTTTGCAGCGGCTCAAAGTCAAGTACTCGGATACGAATTGGTTCTTTCACCGTCGGCCCCACAGCAGTTCCTCGTCCGACACCGTGCTGATACACACAGAGCAAGTGCTGCGGACCCAGCTACTTCGCCGTTGCCCCAATCTCAGGTGGATTTCAATACTTGCGCCGCCCTTCCATGTAAATCTCCAGTGGACAAGGGACAGATAATGTGCGATTTGAGAACACGGGAATTCAGAATTGGTACATGTTCAATGTTGGGAAACGTTAGAGAACTTGAATGAACTCCTTTTTCATTCCACCGTGTTTGCTGCAGTCATAGGAAAGTCAGGTGTATGTTGGTCCATTCCATATCGCTCCGTGTCAAAGGATACCTTGGTTAAGCGGCGGGCGACCATAAGTCTCCTACCAACATCATTAGCACATCATTCACGCTAACATCGAGCGGAAAAATACATACCGGCTCCTGCGGGCGGTTGCCCAACACGCTCTCGATACGCGCCAACACCGCAGCATCCAGCTTGGGGAGCACCTCAAGCGCGGCGAGGTTTGCCTCGAGCTGCGCGACGGAGGACACGCCAAGGATAACCGTGGAGGTGTGGCGGTGCGCGGCAACCCACGCTAGCGCCAGCGCGGTTGGCGTGGAATTGAGTTCTGTTCGTGCACATCAGTCAAGGCCTCGAGTGGAGCAAGTTGGGGGTAAATGACGCACCGGCGGCAATTTCGCCGAGGAGGCGCACTTTCCGAAGCAGCTCTTCGCCCTGGGCACCCTCCGTCGCCCCACGGAACATGGGCACGGTAGCAAAGCGCGTGCCGTCTGGGATGCCGTCGTTGTACTAGCAAAGTTAGTGAGATTTTGAGAGGGTTGGGGAGTATATACCTTCCCGGTCAGCAGTCCACCCTGCAGCGCGGAGAACGCGGTTGTGCCGAGGCCGTACTTGGTGTACAAAGGACTGTGACAAGCCTTTGGCTTGTTGTTGCTTGTTTGGTCTTGTTTGTCCATATTTGGTAGTTGTTCCTGATCTCTCCCTTTATGTGTTCCTTAGTTCCTATATGTTTTCTTCTAGTTCCTGTTCCTGTTCCTTCTCCTAGCTCCTGGTTAGTAGTGTATATAAGCCTGTCTCTAGTTAGTTCCCATATCATATCATATAGTTTCCCAGCAGAGTTTCCCCCCCAGTTCAAAGTCTTTCCTCTTCTTCTCCCTCTCTGGTTGTGCTGTAGCCTTTCAGTTAGAGCAGTTTGAAGGGCTCTTGCTTTTCTTGTTCTTTCTCACACCAGTGAGAAAGCTTGTCAACTGATGAGGCACTATTAGCTCCTGATGGGAAAGCACGGTTGCCCACGCACGCATATTCCTTCTCCGGACGCTCGCGGTGGAACATGCTATTGTTTCCTCAGCATTAGTTGGAGGGGAAAATAAGATGGCGCGGACTTGTGCTTGCACTGCTCCGCGATCGGCGCGATGAGGTTCAACCGCGTGGCAACATCTGTTCCCAGGGTCAGCAATGGGAGGTCTAGGGCGGGGACCATGCTCACGATGCGCCTCCTCGATTTGGTGCGCGCTCCATTCGGAGGTTCCCCAGTAGAGGGCCTAAAACTGAATCTCAGTGTGTATGCCAATGGGTAGACAAAAGCTATGACGCACCCAGCCCTGGTCGATAACGTAGTTAAACGCGCGTACGATCTCCTCCATCGGAACTAGCTTGCGTCAGAGTTCGCCTCCTTGCGCCGAATATAAAGAACCCACCGGTCGTATCGCACCGATGCGCGAAGATGATGTCGACATAGTCCATCTGCAGCCGCCGCAGACACGCCTTCGTGCCCTCGATAACGCTGTTGCGAGTCAGGGCTGAAGGAAGGAAAGAAAGAAAGGAAGGAAGGAAGATGCGCACTGTTTACGCGACAGCCCCGTGTCGTTCGGACCTGTGCCTGGCTCGTGACTCCAGAATATCTTGGTCGAGATGATGAGGTCGGTGCGGCGCCAGCCAAGTTCTTTGATAGCACGACCCCTGCACAACAGAGCGCTTCAGCATAGGCAGAAAGCACCAACTACACATACGCACATTTCGCGCTCAGCCGCGCCCTTCTGGTAGTCCTCCGCGGTGTCGAACATGTTGATCCCATGTTCGAAGGCAGCCTGCATGATGTCCTTCACGCTCTCGCCGACGACAGAGCCGCCAAGGGTGAGCCCTGCTGGCAGATCAGCTATATCAAGGGAGAACGCGGACGGACGGACAGCCGCCGAGAGAGAAGAGCGGCACGCGGAGCCCGCTGGGGCCTAGTCGGCGGAAGGGCATCGCTTTTGCATCGAATACGGGGACTGGAGAGGACATGGAGAGAGGTGAAGAGGTGGCTGGATGAGAAGATCGATGGCAGCGTCGGCGAACGGGCCGGTGGTGTCTGCGGAAGGCGGAGCGCCGTCGTCGGGGGCAGTAGACCTATTAATGAAATGAGCAGTTCGCTACGCGTTATGATTAGGACACGGGTGATGCACCGTATAAAGCTTGAGCACGCTTAAATACCTATCAGAACCCAGTTGCGCGGACAATATAGGGCACACACCTTGTCCCCTCGCATTCGATTGTCCTCTGCTGCTTGCCATCCTCGCTATCTGCCGCTAACGTCGCGCTGCCTGTTTACGCCCAGTTGGGAGTCTGACCCCCGCCGTGAGTCCATCACTTGTAATAACTCGGATTACTAGGAAGCAGATGAGCGAAATATGAACCGAATGCAGGAAGGCGCACCTCAAGGCAGGCTTAATCCCAGTCATTACCAGCCCCTGTCATTCCTCGCGCCGTGGCTTGAGCATTGGGTGGGCTCGGGAAACAGGGGAAGTAGGCGGCATACCTGGGCTCGTGCATTGCCTGAGGCACCACTTCGACACTATGGAAACCCTCCAGCGCAAGCAGAATTCAAGCTCTGCGCGCGTATGCGACAGCGCTGATTGCTTGTCAAACGGAGGGCCGAAGGCCACACGGCACTGAGGCGGGAGATTCGATGAGGCGACGGCGACATTGCGACGTCATGGTGTAGCTCGTCAATCAAGTTCTAAGCTACTAGTGAGTTGCTTTCTAGCGCTCGAAGGCAGTCGTAACGCACCTCAGTGCCCCACTCCATATTAGCTGACGCCCAGCCAGCGGCCCGGTCCGGCAATATCGGGCTCATCACGAGTGGAGCATCGGGAACGGCCCTAGTTGGACCAGGATGGCCCGCGCGTTCGCGACATGGAGGTTAAGGACAAGCCGCCGCTGCTTACGTGTTTCGGGCATGTGGCGCCGTGACATCCATCTCTATTATGTCACTTCTTTCGTCTTCCCACCACTTCGTCAACGTCTGTGCTTTGCTGGGGGTGTGCGCTGGCGGGTCTGTGGAGCCTCAAAGTTATCAAGGCCATGGTCAAGGACGTAAGGAGTGTGAGAGGAGGGGAGGCGGAGGGGGCACATGGGCAGTGGGAAGAGGCGAGAGGTTGGGACACGGTGCGCTCTCGCGGCCTCGCTCCAGCGAGCACCTGCTGATTCGTTTCAATGGTCATTTGCAGACGTTCCTTGAAGCGCACGTCCCAAGCTACCGATAGACAATCTACCGGTAACGACAGGGCGTTAAGCACTCCAAACGTACCCCCGGAACCCATCTCGCTCTGCCGCACTTCCAAGTCGACATCTCCGCGTGTACTCGTATTGGCTGTCGACTGATTGCTTGCCTCGTTCCGGCGCACACCGGATCACACGCGCTCCGGTGACGCCCGGCGTCTTGGACGCGTGCGGTCAGTGGGCGTCTGAACTGAACCAAGGGCTGTTCATGCAGCGGACTCGAAGTTGGAAAAAGGCTTCGTGCATGGACACAACCCATCGCGCATCGATGCGCGGGCTCGAACACACCTTGTGGGTGGCAGGAGTCACAGATGGGCGACGACGGGACATGTCGTTCTTAGATGTGGCCTGCATTTCAGAGCAGCGATCATAAAGTCCTTGCTGAAAACTGTCATGAGTGCAGCTGGGGTAAAACGCCGCTACACGCTTGTAGCGGTGGTGTAGCGGTGGTGTAGCAGCGCCGCTACACTGCCACAAATTTCAATCAACGCAAATGTCTACAACAAGCCCACTGATTGTTGCACCACTCGGTGGATAAGCTGCTGAATGCAAATCATACTGGCTTTCTGAAGTCAGTGGCATAACAGCTCTGAGTTTTCAACATGTATGCATTTATTGATGTCTTATAAAAATAAATGTTGCTAGGGTAGAGCACGGGTCAGGGTCAACCCGCAGGGTTTCAGGGTAGGGTCTGTCAGGGTCAGGGTCAGGGTACACCAATTTCTGAACCCGGCCAAACCCGGACCCTTTCAGGGTCAACCCGGAGGGTCCAATAAGCTGTTGTGATGGGACAATTCCCTATCTAAACATGATTTTTGTGAGTTTTTGTGAGACAAAAAAAATCATATGTCACTCAGGTCACTCATGTGACATGTGACATAGAAGTAAATGAGATTAAATATGCTCAAAATCTTGAGGAAAAGGTTACATATACTATATCTGAGCCAATATCATGTAGCAAAATGTATATTATGTCAAAATTATTGTCCCAAATACATCTTCTGCTTCCTTATCTGCAACCCGTGGGTCAACCCGGACCCGGTTGGACCCGTACCCGGAAGGGTCAGGGTTAGTCAGGGTCAGGGTCAGGGTCAGCCTTCTGAGACCCGGACCCGGACCCGTGCTCCACCCTAAATGTTGCGGCGGTGTAGCGGGGGTCAAGCACTGTTGAGACAAGTTCATGTGCATTGGGGACTTCCCTGTAGCAGTCCTCTGGGACTTGTACAAACCTGATGCGGTGTCACAAAATCTTGCAGCGGTGTGTCACACATCTGTCGCGGTGCTTGTCTGCTTATCAACAGGGACACTTGGCACCACCCATCAGAGTGTGCAACTGCCTCAGTAAACACTCCCCCCTGGAATACTACCACCAGCTCGGCCGTCTACCCTGCTACACTTCAAGTCTAGTGGAGGGAATGGCTCGAAAGCGGCAGCACAGCGAGTTGACACGCAGTTCTATCTCCGAAGATCTCGAAACGCCAGAGGAGCTCGTTCAACGCTTATTCAAGAAGCAAAAGCTTGAGGGAAGCAGACAGCGCAGTGGCCGGAAGCGGACAGCGGGGAAATAAATGTCGAGTACCTGTGGATTTTAACTTGTAAATCTTGTAGCGGAGTCCTTGACAGACGCAGCGGTGGCGGCGTGACATGCAGCGGGGGTGTCATCACGCTGCAGCGGCAGTGTAGCGGTGGTGTAGCGGGTGTAGCGGGGTTTTACCCCATCCCTCATGAGTGTTGATAGCGGAAAATGAGAACCGGACCGACATGATCACTGACTGCATCGGGTCCAAATGAGGCCGCAAAAGTTGGGGGAGGTCGGGACGCATCGGCCAGCTAATCACCCTGATCTGCGGCCGCATGCACCTCGCGACGACAACTCCTCGTCCTCCGCCTATTGCCGAATACCGTCGCCATCATCATGGCATTGCAGGCCCGTCCTCTTCCCGGCCCAGGCCAACACACTACTAACCGGGTCCGCTCCGCAAGTCACGCACCTCCATTCCCAGGACCCCAGCGGACGAAAAAGAACCGAGTCCATGTATTTTTCGATGACCACGGCCCGGGCGCGCGGCGAACGCGCCATCCCCATAATCACACAAGCCCAAGCTTTCGCGTTCAACGGTGGTGAGGTCCATGCTGGAGGTGTGGTCGTACTGCACTGCACGACCTGTGGCGTTCTGCTTAAGCTTGCGGCGGCGCCAGTTGCAGATGTCCAGCGGCACCGGTACAGGGCCTGTTGACGAGGACGGGGTAGCATGAGTGTGCCAGAGCAGATGTATGTGAGGCGGGCGGAAGTTTTGCATGAGCTGGCGATGTCTGTCAAAGAGAAACACGTCAGCAGGGGCATCTGCTTGAACGAGATCTCTGGAGCGCACCATGTCCCAGCCGGGCCAGCCCCAAAGACGCCTCTCAAACTGCTTCTGTCATAAGCCCAACATGCAACGACCGCTCAGTCGCTCCCCGCACGCACGCAGCCGCCCAGCACAACCGTCGACCTTCAGCGCGAGTGGTAGGAAGACGAAAAGAGGCACAATCTCGACACTCCTCCAAGTTCGAGGCGCTGCGGTTGCGGCACTGGCTCCTGGTGAGGCTACCGAGTGGAAGCTGGCGTCGCACTCATTGGCACGAGTCAGGATCCTTGACGCGGATATGTGCGGGGGACAACGCACCAGTGATGAGATGAGCCCGCGCGCGTCAGGGCCGCCCAACGGTGCGCATACACAGCGCTCACTGGCTCGTCGTCGCAACGCTGAATCTGGATATGGGCCAGGGAAAGTTGGTGGGTATCGGCGCAAGGAGTTGGATTGGCCCCTGCCGAGTGCCGCTGAGGATGTTCTGTCAATGTTGGCGCCGAGAGAGGATGAGGCGCGAGCGGGGACGGTGCAGATGGCGCGCTTGGATATGATGGTTGGGGGAGCCGCGCAAGCGATACCTCAAAGCAGAGCGAGTATGGGCGGGAGGACGACTGCGACGAAATCGCGTCGCTCGCTGCTGGTCTTGGATCGGGCTCCAGCGTTGGAGGGCACCGTTGCGGGCGAATTTACTGGCGAGGGGAAAAGGAAGGACGAGTGGGAAAAGGAAGGACGAGCGATGAGATGTGAGAAGGAGTTGAAAAGTAAATCATGTGTGTCTCAGGTTCAGGAAATGAAATGAGGGCAGTGCCAGCAAGCATGTATTCAGAATGCAGAGCCATACAATGTACATAAGTGTCAGATGGCTACTTCACGATGCCGGAGACGGCTCACTGTGAGAAAAACAACAGGGTGGAGACGACCTTGAGGCTAGCGACTAGTACACGGCTGTTAATGGACACGGGAAGGCAGAGCTGCGTGATTATAGGCGGAGTTCATAGCAATGCTATCACGGCTCACCCACCTCCCAGCTTCCGATCAAATTACCCGCGGGCCGCGGTCGCGACTATTGAGCACATATACCTGCGAACACTTGCTTCTTACCTCTGCTCTTCGTCCCCGGGCCCTAACCTCCGCTACTCGCCATCCGGGCCATGTTCTGCACCACAGACCCGGGAGCATGTATGTCACGGTATCCCTCGCCTGGATGACTCAAGACCCGTTAACGTGTTACACAGCACCCCAGCGCACCCGAGACATCGCCCGATGCCGCGCATTTGGCGCCGCTCCTGGAGCAACACTCACCACAAAGCATCTCCACCGGCGCCAGCCCGCGTCCACCCGGCATCGGCCCGGGTCCACCCGGCGCCCGAACGGACACTGACCAACGACTCG